AATAAGAACTGAATTTATTTTTGTGGTTAAATGATAGTCTTATTTTTTTTTTTAAATAGAAATCTCCAATTCTGCTGTTGAGTGTAATAGGCAGGTCTCTGGCTAAGCCACAGTCTTCTATGAGTCCTCTTTTTTTCATTTAGTCACTTCAAAATATTCTATAAATAATATGAGACACTCATTCACTTTTTATTTTAAAATTTTTCAGGTATCATCCAATCATTGTTCTCTCTTCATGGATTTAATCAATTATGCATTGTAAAAGTAATTAGAATTCCATTTTTGTTATGTATTTTGTTATGTATTAAGTTCAAGTGGGTAGTGTTAGTTTTCTCTGGGACAAGGTGGTAATGTTAGTGTTTTCTAACAATTTGCCTTCTTTTCTATTTATTATGTACTGTTTTATTTTTCACTAAACACTTATATAAGCAATCCTGTTTTAAAACTCAGTGTCAGAAATGTTCAGCATCATAATTTCTTTTTTTCTTCTCTGAATTTGAATTCTTTTTAAAAATTTTTATATTAATTACAGGTTATTTACTTTGTATCACAGCTGTAGCCCCCTTCCTCATTTCCTCCCAATCCCACCTTCCCTCCCTCATCTCCTCCTGCCCCTCTCTAAGTCCACTGATAGGGGAGTTCCTCCTCCCACTCCATCTGACCCTAGCCTATCAGGTCTCATCAGGACTGACTGCAATGTCCTCCTCTGTGGCCTAGCAAGGCTGCTCCTCTCTTGGGGGGTAGGAGGGGAGGTAAAAGAGCCAGCCACTGAGTTCATGTCAGAGACAATCTCTCTTCCCCTTACTAGGGCACCTACTTGGACCTTGAACTGCCATTGGCTACGTCTGAGCAGGGGTTCTAGGTTATATCCATACACGGTCCTTGGTTGGAGAATCAGTTTCAGAGAAGACCTCTGGGCCCAGATGGTCCTTGTGGAGCGCGAGTCCTCTCCAGGTCTCACTAACTCCCCCTTCTTTCGAATGATTCCCTTAACTCTGCCCAAGATTTGGTTATGAGCATAGTTTCTAAGACACAGTTCTCTATTTTTCTATGGGCTGTCAAATAACTGGCATCAGATGACTTGTATTTTTCATTCTTCAGTATATGATTTCTTGGGGCTCATACAAACCTATCTTGAGTGCCATTCAGAAAGTCAGTTTTCATTCTGTTTATTGATAACAGTTGTAAAGATTTCAGACGCCAGTGAAACACTTGCACACTGTTCAGCCTCATTTTAAAAACATACTTATTTTGCTTCCCATTAATTATTTCGTTTTAATAATTTTGGGTCCTTCTGCAGCTCTTGGGTGACGAGGCGGCACTCTCAAGCACAGTGTTTGTTCGTGTTCCCCATTGTAGCTGTTTCCAGTTCCAGAGATGGCTGGTTTCAGGCAGCTGAAACTGTCACAGATTGTGAGGTGGAAAAGAGACGTGGAATCTTTAAGCATTTGCATTTGAAATTACAGTATTGGTGTTTGTCTTAGTTACTGTTCCATTGCCGTTAAGAGACACCATGACCAAGGCTGTCCCATTTAAAACAAAACAACAACAACAAAAACATTTAATTGGAGACTTGCTTACAGTGTCTGAGGGCTAGTCTGTGATCATCATGATGGGAAACGGGGGGAGAGGGATGGCAATATGGGTGTTATTGGAGTTGTAACTAAGAGCTACACCCTGATTCACAGAACCAAGAGAGAGACTGGGCTGGCATGGGCTTTTGAGGCCTCAAAGCCCAACCCCAGTGACACACTTTCTCCAACAAGGCCACACATACTGCAATAAGGCCAAACTTTCTAATTGTTCTAATGCTTCTCAAATAGTGCCACTCCTCGATGACTAATCATTCAACTATATGAACCTGTGGAAGCCATTCTTTTTCAGACCACCAGCTTTAATACAGAAGGGCTTCAGGTCACTCAAGTTCAAATGGAAGACTAACAGATACTGAAGGTTGATTGAAAATTTCAAGTACACTCAGTTTCTAAAACCCATTTATGGGTCTCAAAATAAATCACTATTGATTGCATCAGAGTCATATTTAAAAGTGTCTTGTGGATAGGGGTGGCAGCTCCCCTTCTCTGGAAAGTAGGGGAAGGAAAACAAGGAGGGAGGGTGGGACCAGGAAAATAGGAGGGAGGGGCTACAACTGGGATGTAAAATGGATAAATAAAAAGTGTTTAAAAGTGTCTTTTTTCTTTCTTAGTATAGTTGACACTGACTCATTTGTCCTCACACTCTCGTATCTCCCCCTAGTGTGTGAACAAACTTTACTTGCAAATCTCCATGTATAACACATTCAGCCAGAACACGCTGAAATCGTGCTGGTTCACAGGCAGGTGAACACAAAAGCAGCCTTTGTGAATCAGTCAGCTGAGAAACTTCCCTAAGGGACATAAGTGCCTATCTCTGTGAAAACTGTTGAGATTTTTTTTTACCTGTTTTATTTATTTTATTATTTTTTATTTAACTTTTATTAATTACACTTTATTCATTTTGTATCCCCCCATAAGCCCCTCCCTCCTCCCCTCCCAGTCCCACCCTCCCCCCCTTCTGCATGCATGCCCCTCCCCAAGTCCACTGATAGGAGAGGTCCTCCTCTCCTTCTCTCTGATCTTAGTCTATCAGTTCTCATCAGAAGTGGCTGCATTGTCAGGGTTCTAGGTTATCTCCATGAATAGTCTTTGGTTGGAGTCTCTGGGAAGTTCCCTGTGTTCAAATTTTCTTGTTCTGTTGCTCTCCTTGTGGAGACCCTGTCCTCTCCAGCTCTTACTATTTCCCACTCCTTACATAAAACTTTTTTTAAAGATGACTTGAGTACGTTTGAAAATTCAAAGTATTATGCCATCCTACTTTATTTCTATTTTCAAGTTGTTATTTTGAAAACAAGCATTTGCACTTGACTCTGTCATCCAGGGACTTTGTCTTGTCATTAGCTTTCAAAATAAGGGTAATTTTAGTTCTGAGATCCAAAGGGACAGAGAAGTGGGAGAGAGAAAAATAATCTGATAACCGGCATCTGTTAGTTAATCAATTATCTAGTTTATCAAACATTTTCTGTTTCCTTTTGTTTTTCACTGCTGGAAATAAACTCCAGGCCCCCTGGAGCCATGCTCTGGTTCTTTTTTTCATTTTTGTTGTAGAATGACCTTCAGATGCACTAGGGACTAGAAAAATCTCGGTTCCACCGAGACACACTATCGTATAAAACCCTCACCCTTATCCGACTGAACTGTCACAAAGGTCCTACACTGTCAGTGCTACGTGTCTCATCATATGGCTCCAGGTCAGTCAAGAAACTTGACTTCTCTGTCTTCACTATTCTCTGTGGTAGCAAGAATTAAAACTTTGTTTCTATTGATTTTAAAATTACAGTCTGTTACTTGTTTTCTCCTACTTCCAGTGCCCATCCCATTTGTCTTTCTAAGTGAGGACTGATCATCTTACCCTGGTCTTATTTCTTGTTTATCTTCTTTAGGTGTATAGATTTCATTATGTTTATCCTATCTAGGTCTATATAAGTGAGTATATATCATGTTTGTCTTTCTGCTTCTGGGATACCTCACTCAGAATGATCTTTTCTAGATCCCATCATTTCCCTGCAAATTTCATGATTTCCTTGTTTAAGTAACAGAACAGGAGCCTACCACAGAGGGTAGACTCTACATAGCAGTGTGTCAAAGCAGATACTTAGACTCATAACCACACCTTTGGCAGAGTGCAGGGAATCATATGAAGGAAGGGGGAGTTAGTATGATGTGGAGAGGATAGGAGCTCCACAAGGACCAAATATATCTGGGCACAGGGGTCTTACATGAGACTGTCTATCAAACTAAGGACCATGTATGGATATAACCTAGAACCTCTGCTTGGATGTAGCCTGTGGTAGCTCAGTAACCAAGTGGGTTACCCCAGTAAGGGGAAAAGGGACTATTTCTGACAGGAACTCAATGGCAGGCTCTTTGACCTCCCCACCCCCAAGGGAAGAGCAGTCCTGCTAGGCCACAGAGGAGGACTTTGTGGCCAGTCCTGAAGATACCTGATAAAACAGGGTCAGATGGAAGGGGAGGAGGTCCTCCCCATCAGTGGACTTGGAAAGGGGCAGGGAGGAGACCAGGGAGGGAGTGTGGGATTGGGAGGGAATGAGGGAGCAGGATACAGCTGGGATACAGAGTTAATAAAGTGTAACTAATAATAAAAAACAATAGAGTCCATTTTATAGAAATGGCCAAGTGTATCCTTGAGTTTAATATGATAAACTTTTCCAGAGTCTCTCTGTTTTTTCATTCAGAGATTTTAGAAAATTTCACAAATAATAGAAATGCAATAGTAAAGCCCATTATTTTTTCCTTATGTCATGTAACTGTATTTGTTCTTCCTTGAAGTCCATCAACTATTCATTGTTATATTTTTTCCCAGGTTGGTAGGATGAATAAAATAAATTATTAGATTTAGAAAAATAGCAAACTTTTAAAAGATTAGTGTGAGCGTAGCTCTAAAGAGCCTTTTACTAAGAGCCCACCAGAGTTGCCAGAAGTTGAGCTACAGAACTGGAAGATGTCTGAGTAAAATTAGCCTTCTTTTGAGAAGACTATCTCGTATAGTTAGATGTGAGATCATTCGATATATTAATTTCAGTAAGAGCACCTAGAATTCCATAATGATGCACAGACAACAGATAATAAGAAAAAAAGTTTTGGTCCAGTGTTCTTGGAGCAGAGAAAAAAAAAAAACCACAAAGCAATTTTGAACCCACTAATTTAAAATGATTATTGAAATGATAATTTTAGAACTTACTGGATTATTTTTAAATCCTTTGGGAAAGAGAGATTAAGTTGGAGAGGACTAGTTGAGATAATAAAGAGAGGATGATATACTCCTAATATACTTAGACTATATTTTGCTACCAAATTAATTTATCTTCTATTTAATGTGTCCAGTCCTAGCATGGAACAGAAGTTGAAGCAGAAACACTGCTACATGTTTCTACTGAGGTCATCATGCTCAAGGTAAACGGCTCGATCTTCACGCCTTCTGTGTTCACACTAATTGGGATCCCTGGCCTGGAGTCAGTGCAATGCTGGATCGGGATTCCATTCTGCGTCATGTACATCATCGCTGTGATCGGGAACGCTCTAATTCTAGTTATAATCAAGAGTGAAAAGAGCCTCCACATACCCATGTACATTTTCTTGGCCATTTTGGCAGTCACCGACATTGCCCTTAGCACATGCATTCTTCCAAAAATGCTGGGCATCTTCTGGTTTCAGCTGCCACAGATCTCCTTTGATGCCTGCTTGCTACAAATGGAGCTCATCCACTCCTTCCAGGCAACAGAATCAGGCATCCTCCTGGCCATGGCTCTGGATCGCTATGTGGCCATCTGCAACCCCTTGAGACATGCCACCATCTTCTCTCCACAGCTCACGACTTGCCTTGGAGCTGGTGTGCTACTCAGGGCTTTCATTCTGGTATTCCCATCCATACTGCTCATCAAATGCCGTCTTAAGTACTTCCGAACTACCACTATCTCTCACTCTTACTGTGAACACATGGCCATTGTGAAACTGGCAGCTGAAGATGTGAGAATCAACAAGGTATGTGGCCTCCTGGTTGCCTTTGCCATCTTAGGGTTTGACATTGTCTTCATTACCTTCTCCTACGTGCAAATTTTTGTCACTGTCTTCCAGCTGCCCCAGAAGGAGGCTCGATTCAAAGCCTTCAATACCTGCATTGCTCACATCTGTGTCTTCCTACAGTTCTACCTCCTGGGATTCTTCTCTTTCTTCACGCACAGGTTTGGGGCTCATATACCCCCTTATGTACATATCCTCCTGTCAGATCTTTACCTGTTAGTCCCTCCTTTTCTCAACCCCATTGTCTATGGTGTTAAAACTAAACAGATCCGTGACCAAGTCCTGAAAATGCTTTTCTCCAAGAAACCTCTGTGAACATTAGTAACCCCCTGTGTTGAAATGTTGTGTGCTTTCTAATTAGCAACTTGAATGAATTGAACACTATGTCTTCTACAAATAGGGAAGCGAGTAATAGCATGTAAACTTCAGGCATTCAGAATTTATGGAAGTATCAGTTAAATCAAAACAACCTTCTTTAACTCTGTTTCAGTTTCAAATTATTTAATGCATTGTACTTGTCTGGAACTGGATATAGTCTTATATGTCTTTTTATTAACACTATGGAGCCATATTTTAAAACAAATTTCAGATTTAGCATTTTCCTGAGAAAAAATTTCAGATCATTATATAAATTACCATTCTGAAACTTCTAACCTTGAAAGACCCCAGCCTCACCCTAAGTTAAACATAGCTAATGCCATTTTGTGAGACACCACTGTTTTGTAAAACTCTGAAGGCCAGATGAGAAACTGGAAAATTACTGAGAAATCCTAGCTGTGTCACCCACTTGGGATATCTGTGGTCAGGCTGCCCCAGTCATACTAAAAACAGTTTGTGTTAATCACTCTCATAGATATCTGTGAGACTGTTTCAGCTAAGATAGAGAAAAACAAAATAACAGGTGGCGGGCCACGTCAGGGGGTCATCAGACCCCCTTGACCCACCCAGCTCCTGGAATCTTGGTGCCCCTGCCAAACTTTGACGCAAATCGTGGTCTCATGAAAATGTACCAATCAGCCCCCTGTAACCATGCTCTCTCGCTTCTGTATCATTGCTACTGCTCTAAAACCCTATAAAAACCCCAGCTTCCTACATGGGGGCGCGGAAGTCTCCCGAAAGACTTATCGCCCCGGGTACCCGTGAATCAAAATAAAAGCCTCTTGCTGTTTGCATCCGAATGGCCTCGTTGATCCTTGGGAGGGGGTCTCTCTGACGGAAGATACCCTCCGGGGATCTTTCAACCTAATAAATACCCATAATTTTGGCTATGTTTTACTTACTGGTATTTTCATCTAATCTGTATTTTGACAAAGTTTTAGAATGGCTAATAGTTTTATATAATCTATAAATAAAGATATAGTGATAATATATAACAAATTACTCACATGAAATGATTCAATAAAATTCAAACCTCATTAAAGAGACCAAGAACCACGTTAAGAGAAATTACAAAGAAACGACAGAGGAGCCACACAGGCAAGCTCTGGGCATGACTGGCATGCCAGGCCTCGTTCAGGAAGCTGGCAGCGGAACTGAGGATGGTTTTTGAGCTCAGCCTTGGGCTTTCACTTGCACATGACTGCACGCTTGCCCACACACACTAAGAACTTGCCAGTGCACATCCATGCACACAGCACACACATAATATGAAAAATAGTGAACACGAAATTATTATTATGTAATAAGTGACACAGTGATAAAAAGCAGAGAACAATGTTGTAGCTGATGGACAACACAAAAATGGTGCTGCGAGATAATAGGAGCGAATAACTGAATGAATTATTTTAATCCTGAATTGGAGACGACATATTCCAGGGCTTGTGACACATACTTCAGAGCAATTAAGCAGTGAGGAATCAACTTAAAATAAATGAAGATGATGAATAGAGAATTCTAATCAGAGATATGGGGAAGTTAATGAATATAGAGTATAGATTAGGTATTCTTAAGTATGGAACCAAAACTCTTAGGAAGTATATATAAATTGTTATACACACACACACACACACACACACACACACACACACACATATATATATAGTTAGGTAGTATATATAAAAATGTGCTAAGTACATAAATTAAATTAAACTAACCTTTGTGGTTAATATAAGCAACTGAAAAGAAAAAGCCTAAACCAATCATAGAAGAAAGAGTAAATGTCCTATACAACTTCATGAGCTCACTATTGAAAAATCAGTTTGGTAATAATAGTGGAATCAATTTTCTCAGAAAATTGGGATGAGATCTACTTCAAGATCTACCTATGCAAATCGTGGGTATATACCCAAAAGAAGCGTCACCATACCACAACGACACTTGCTCAACTATGTTCATAGCAACTTTATTTTTAACAGGCAGAAATTGGAAACAACCAGGTATCTCTCAATTGAAGAATGGATGCTGAAAATGTGGTACATTTATACAATAAAATGGTACTCAGCAATTATTATGTGTTTATTAACATAGTTCCCATAGTTATTGTTTTTCTCTGCCCATTGAAAATTAGGGAAGAAAAGTGACCATAGATCTGTAGGTCTTCTGAGTTTATGGAGGACTAATAGAATACAATACTTCATGGATTCAAGACTTCCAGTCTCCAACAAGCACTTCCTGGGAGAGCGCTGGTAATTCTTGGCCAACGATAACCAGTGGCTGTCAAGTCATTGCATATCTAGGGCTGATTCTTTCATAGTAAGTATAGGACCTCTAATCCATGAGAAGAGGCCAATTCCCATGGAAAAGAAAGCAGTTTATGATCGTCTCCCCCTGAGAGGGGCAGGCTTACCAGACCACAGAGGAAGACAAGCAGACAGTCCTGATGAGACCTGATAGGTTAGGGTCAGAGGGAAGGGGAGGAGGACCTCCTCTATCAGTAGACTGGGGGGAAGGGCATGAGTGGAAAAGAGGGAGGGAGGGTGGTCCTGAGAAAGGACCAGGGAGGGGGCGACAGCTGGGATACAAATTGAATACATTATAGTAACTGAAAAAATAAATTAAAAAGTATGCATTACTAAAAGAAAACAGTTTATATCTGACAACCAGGCATAGTCATCTTGAGATGAAATTACCTTGTGAGACACTCTCTCAGATTCATATGGAACAACACTTTGGGACAATCCTAGGCATGGAGCACCCTCTAGAGATAAAACAAACGCCTATCAATAACAGAGCCACTGAAAACATGGCTTAAAATGTGTGTATAGGCAGGGGGAAATAACCAACTGTTTCACTGTTTCAAATCATGGGAAAGAGGACTAAGAAAGTTAAATTATAAAAATTAGGATAAACATCTTGACCATCGATAAGGCTACAACAAACTCCAAGAAATTTCATAAAACTAAGATCTTGTTTAAAGAACAAATAAGGTGACATTGTGGTCTTTCCTCCATCCTCTTTGGTATATCTACAGTTGTATTTTTTGTTCAGCTCATGTTGATGCAGTCTTGTTGTTTAATAGCCGATTATCAGTCCTGAAGACATACATAAAAGTAGGATTAAACATACTAATCAGGTTACATTCAGGAATATATGTGTTTATACGTATATTTGAACAAAGAGGCCATGAAGTTGAAAGTGAGCAAGGATGTCTATATGAGAATGTTTGGATGGAGGAAGGGGAATAAAGAAACAATGTGATTATATAATCTCAAAAATATAAGGTAAAATTCACAATAATAACAAAAAGAATTATAGCATGTGATCCCATAAAGACTTGGTTTAAAAAGGAATTTAAACTGATTGTTTTATGGAAGCTCAAAATATTTAAAAAAAAAACACAGAATAAGAGAAAAATGTAAGATAGAGATAATTTATAAAACTAAACAGATATTCTCAAGCTTAGAACCATACTAAATGAAACTAAAGTTATTAAAAGAATCATTAAGTGCTATAAATGTGCTAGACAGATGAAGAATTAATAAGATCAGATGTGGTCAATTTGAAATTTTAGAGCAGACAAATAACATAGAGAGTTTGGGGACAATATTAATAGGGTAAGTTTTTAAATGTCAGTTTATGAAGGACTTGTGAATACCAAAGTATATTCAAAGACATAACAACAGAAAAGTATGTAGTCCTGGAGCAGACAGATATCTATGTCAGTCAGTCAAATCTAAGTATATCAAGTCTACTCGAGATATAATCTTACCAATATTTTCAGGGTTAGGGATAAGTGAATCAATCTCAAGGCAGCAAGAGAAAACAAAAATGAATAATACACAATGGGTATCTCAGTTTGTCTGTGATTTCTCAGAAGAAACCTTACAATTCAGATAAACATGCACTGAAGAAAATAACAAAACCAAAAGCATCGAACAAAACTACCAGCCAGGAATTTGAAGTGAATTTAGCTAACAAAGTTGAATAAACTTTAAACCATCAGATCTCTTTTCTATATGGTTGTGGGCCTTGACTTTAATGGCTGAGCCATCTCTCCAGCCCTACCTCAAGATCCAGCTATACTACTACAAGACATATATCCAAAATATGCTCAAGTATACCACAAGGACATTTGCTCAACTATATATATATAAAGACTTCCTAGAATTCAATGAAAATGAAGGCACAACATACCCAAACTTAAGGGACACAAGGAAGGTGGTGCTAAGAGGAAAATTCATAGCACTAAGTGCCTTCAAGAAGAATTATAAACATATCATACAAGTAAATTAATGGCCCACCTGAAAGCCTTAGTTTAAAAAGAAACAGACACATCCAAGATGAGTAGATGTCTGGAAATAATCAAACTCAGGGCTGGAATCAATGAATTAGAAACAAATAAAATAATTCAAAGAATCAATGAAACCAAGAGTTGGTTCTTTGAGAAAATCAACTGAAAGGGTTAAACTAACTTTGTAACCTGTATGTTTTCTAAAGCCTATAGTTTTGAGTTTTAGGTCCAGGTTAAGCTAAAGCCTTTTAGTACCTTTCCAGAGAATGGAAAAATGTGACCCTATCTGTGAGGACAGATAGAAAAAAAGCGAGCAAGCAATGACCTTCACTCAGCAAAAAGAAAGACCAGGCCCTTGTCTTTGAGATAGTGTTTCTTAGCAACCAACCAAGACGGCCCCAATTCTTCTTCTGAGTAGCTCCTGACCTCCAGCCAAGAGCCCACAGCCCTAATCTTCAAGGATGAGCTAACCACCCCCACCTTCAATTGCAGCTGCATCCACACTAGGCAGGACTGGCCAAACTTGAGCACCTAAGACTAACCAATTATCTTACTTGATAGCTTCCTTGACCAATCCTAAATTGCCAAAACTGCAACTTCAAATTTCCCGAAATTTTTCTTTTAAAAACCTAAAGCCTTTGTCTCC